AGAAAGAAAAATACCCATGCTGACTCCAACCATGCTGTGCTTTGTTGGGAAGGGGCTCTCGGTACCCGACAGGAGACTTCCCGGGACACGTGCAGCCCCCGAGCCACTGGAGGGCAGCACAGATTGGCAATTACAGAAATAAACAATCTGGTGCTGATTCAATGTCGGGCTGTCGAAGTGTGCATGCAAGATTTATTTTATTTTATCTTTTTAAGAAAAGGGATGATCGAGCATGGCTTTACTCCTCCCCCTGCCCCTCATCATTGCCTTCAATGACCTAGAATCTAGGTTTAGACCTAAATTCAAAGTCGATGGCTTGGGACCGCTTTCGTTCCCAATGTTGTGGCTTCCAAATGAAGTCACAAGGTTTTTCTAATTTTTTTTTTTTTTTTTTGGGCCACAGCACCATAAGCACCTGCGTAGGCCTAGTGGAAATCATGTATGTTGGCAGTTCTGTGCTAGGGGGTGAGTGGAAAAGGTGCACCGGAAAAGGACTGTTGGCTCATATGGAGCCCAAAGCTGGGTATCAGGCCAGCAAACACTTTGGAGGAGGCAGCTGGTTTTCTGACTGCTCTCGGGTGCTCCAGGTAGCTATGAACCCGTAGGGCTCATCTCCTGCCTTGTGGCGTAGCAGAAGTGGTAGGGGGATGCTGGTAGTGGATGCTGGGAGGTTTAGGGCTGGATCCGCATCCCCATCTGAGTGAGTCTTTCCAGTCATTCCCCCTCCACTCCCTGGACTGCAGCATCACTTACTAGCATCCTTGTAAGTGATGACACTGTGTAGTTGTGCATCACTGCAATGCAGTAGATGAGGTGAGAGAATCGAAGACATGATAGTAGGAACAGATCTCGAGCATTGTCTGCCTCTGAGGACAACATCTGGCCTTTCCCTCAAGGCAGCCAAATGTCGATTTAGGTGCCTAATTTTGGCCTTCTGACATGACTTGCCTGTAGCTCAGTGTACACACCTGCACGTTCAGGGGAGCATGACTTTTGCTGTCACCCATGAGATGTTATGCTACCTGCTGCCTTTGCCTGTTGCTAGCATTTCAACTGACAGCCCCCTCTCTTTTGGGCTCTTTCAGCAAAGCGGTCTCTGCCCCTGGCTGATCTTTTCTTACTGTTCAGCTTCCTGGAAGCACCTTCATAAGACACTCGCTCTGTCTCTGTTTAAGACGGACCTAAAATACCTGAGCTTGAGCTGTGCAAATGGAGCCTTTTATATTCCAATTTGTGTAGCGTCTATTCATTGTTCTTGCTTTCCCCATGGCCAGCTGCGCTGGAGCTCACACTATCATCTTTTTCACCTCATCCTGATTTTATTTCACTGCATGGCTCACACGGACAAGGCCAGGAGTCTGCCGGCTTCATCAAAGCCGGGATGAACTTGAGCCGTGGAAAATTTTGAAGTTTAACATTTCTTCTGCACCTCGCTTCCCTCACTGTTTGCACGGCGGTTAATGCACACTCACTAGGTTCACAAGGCACGGTGCCCCTGTGCGTGGCACCCCTGTTTGTCAGGCTGGAGATGGCTATGATGTCACAATCAAGGGCATTGTGATGTCAGAGGAGTAAGCAGCTGGTAATTCTAAAATACAATTGGCTACGTCCTCAGCTGCTGCCAACAGGCGCAGCGCTCATGAAATCAGTGGGGCTGTACTGACTTCCATCAGCTGAGGATTTGGGCCACATGTGGGTGCAGCTGCTGTCTGGGAAAGGGAAGGGAATAAAAAGAATAAAAATCAACCATCCACATCGCTCCATCACGGGTGAAATCACGATGTGTGGCGCACGTCACACAGTCCAGCCCCCAGCCTCAACTCGAAGGCCTACTCCTGCAAGCCATGCCATGTCGGCAGATCTTGGCTGAGCTCCCCCGAAGGCAAGGAGGCTCAGCACAGGGACAGGTGTCTGCTGGTAGGGCCAGCTGCAGCCTCGGGACCTGTGATGAGGTGGCGGGCTCGTCTGCAACTCGGTGAAATACCCTAGGCAAAAGGGGCTGGGACAGACCTTGCATAAACCAGTTTGACCCAAATCAGCTAAGTCGGGGATACTACATTAATAGATTTTAGGGTCAGAATGGACCTATTAGATCATCGAGTCTGACCCCCTGCTCTGGGTTTTCAACCAGGTTTATCTCGAACTGGTTTCAGTCATTTTCAAACTGGTTTATGTGTACCGAACTTCTGTTCTGTTACAGGTTTAAACCAGTTGCTGATCACTTAAACCGGTTTATGTGTAATGTCTGTCCCTAGCCAAGCTGTCCTGAATTAAGCATCCATTATGGCTTTGGCCTTTCTTCCCTGTGAACCTATACTTTTTAAAACTTGACACATCCTACCACATTTTATTTAATCAGAGAAGCCTTTGCCTTTGGCTGGCTGGATTGGCACGCATAAAGAGTTCATATCTCCTGCTGCAAAGCCCCAAAAGCTGGTGCCTTTTGCCCTCTTTGGACAAAGAGGTGGTCCTTCAGACTCCTCGCAAGCTGCCAAGGTAGCCCTCCCCTAGGCAACATTTATTGCATGTGCAGGTACAGACAAAAATGGCACTCCCTGCTAGTGTAGACTCCCAAAAGATCTTGGGACCCTAGGAAACTAAGCTTTGAAGGGTCTACAAGAGAAATACTTCTGTGCACAATAACAATAATTGGGGTGAACAGCAAGATAACCCTCCAGTACCTGCCAAGGGATTTCCCCCTTCTTGCTATCTGTCCCACCAACAACTCGCGTATCTGATTTGGTGACGGGCACGATGCGCCTCAGGTTGGGCGTCACATCGTCGGTAGCGTTGCCCGTCATGTAGTCTGTCACGCTGCCTGTGGCGTTGTCTGCAGCTTCGTCCTCGGTAGAATTGGTGATGTCCCAGTCCTCAAAAGTGTTCATGGCTCGGGTGATCTTGCCTTTGGCTTCTGGCGCTGAAATCCTCCCGCAGGGAAATGGCACTGTGCGAAGGAAACGGAGAGATTGTTACCGCGGCGTTTCTTCTGGCCATGCGTTGCATTCGGCTTCGTAACAAATGAAGCAGCAGGACGGAAGACAAATGCCTGCCTCTCTGCCAGAGAGCACATCTCCCTCTCGGGATGATAAAGAAGGTAGAGGGAAGTGGGCTGACTCAAATGTTCCCTGTTTACATTCGAATTAATTTATGGCACTTTAAGGAGCTCTCGCGATCAAATACATTCAGCAATAAAAATAAAAAAATCCATCAAGAGGTTGAATACTGAAATGCCAAGTTATGTGCACTCAGTGGAGAAAGCACAAAGCTTTGCCAGGCATTGGAAGACTTCTTGAGCAATGTAAAAAAGGAAGAAAATGTATCTGCATGTACGAGAGAGAGAAGTGTAGACCTTTTTTAACACTCTCTACATAAGCACATGCTTCACTTCAGCCTAGGAGTAGTGCCACTAAGACCAACGGGTCTGCTTGTGTGGGTGAAGCTGGCATGCATCCCTGCACGCCAGAAATGCTTTGCCTTTTGAGGCATGCTTTTGACTTGTTAAGGAAGCCTCTTGGCCTCCTTGGCATGGCCCCAGCAGGGCTGGCAGGATAAAGGAGTGGTCAGCTAGCTAATCCTGTGACACTAGTAATGGGCCGGATGACACCAGAGGCATCTCAAGAAGCAAAGACTCCCAGGCCTGTTGCTTGTGGCTATCTTGATGCCTCCCAGTGAGCTCAACTCCACAGCAGCCTACAGACATGTCGACAGGTAAGATGGAGCTGTGCTTCATGGAGCTGCCTGCTGTCCCAGGGAGGGTGCCCATTATTTGTCTCTGGATGCCTTTGCCTAATCCTGACCCACCCTGTTGACTCCGAATCAGCACCCTTATGCTCTTCACCTGCTTCCGAGTCAAATGCTATGAGTCCAATATCCCAGCGGTTGCAGCCAAGGTCTTAAGAGATCAGAGGATCATATAGAGAGGAGGTCCACATACTGAATAACTTTTGAGAAGCTTACAGGGAGGAGATACCGAGTGCCCTATAGCATCAAGCCCTTAAGCTACTGCCGCTGGACTCTTGCTTGCTTCTGCTCCGAGAAGTGCTGATGTAGAAGTGACCAGAATTTCTCCTGGTTGGTGTCTGTTAAACCTGGTTGTTTTTAGTGACAAAAATAACTGTTTTGCTCCTGGTTGCATTTCGGCAATAGCCTGCGGAGGGGTCTGAATGACAGGTGCTGTACTGCAGAGTCAGCGCCGCTCAGGGAACGGCAGCTTGTGCATCAGAGAGGGGACTCTGAAAGCAAACCTGCTACCCGCTTACACCCAGCATGGAGGCAACAAGGAAAGGGCCCGTTTTGGTACACACAAATGATGTCGGTAGTGGGGATGACCTAGAAAGAAGCTTATTTTATGAGATTCAGCTTGTGACAATGGCTGCGCATTGTTGAGAGGTCATGGTTTTTATACCCAAAGCAATGAAGAGTTTGAGGAATCCTGTTGGGGATGATCCAGAGCGTCAACTGGGAACCAGGAAACTGGCCTTCCTTTGCACTTATGCAGGGCTTGCACTCCTCTGGCTTAGGGCTGACATTTCTATAGCAACTAACTCCGCTGCAATAGAAACGCAGGAAGCAGAGAATGGAAACGTGTGTGCGTGTACCGTAAATATTTTACAAGCAGCCAAGGTGAGAAGCATATTCAAGTGTGGGTAGAGTTATTATTTTTTTGGAGTTATTTTTAAATGAAGACTGCATTGGCAAGCTACTCTTCGTATTCACTCTGCTTCCTCATGTCCATTCCTCTCCCACGCCATCTGCAGAAACCCCACTAAGTGCCATGACAAGAACAAGCACTGATGTTAAGTTTCCCCCAGATCACTAGGGATCCTGTCATTCACCTCTAAAAGAAAGCTACTTTTTTTTGTAGTAAAATGTTGTGTGTTCAACAAGGGAAACACGCTACACTTCAGTTTAGGACGGGAAGGAAAGGTTAGCCTATCCAGTAAAAGCTACCGGAGGAATTTTTCAGTAGGATTTGTCACTGCCCGGTCTGAAACTTGCCCTTGTTGTTCATAGTAAACCCCTCTCCTCTTGTGAAAAGTGGCATGGCATCTTAATGAAGCAAGCCCTGACAGCTTGTGGTCTATGTTAGCTGAAAGGCTCTTAGCACAGAAGAGGAGAATAAAATTCATGAAAGCTGATGGCTAAAAGGTAAGCCTCAAATCAATGTGTAGGAGCCTGAAGCATGCTTCCTTCCAATCCTCTGATAACCTTTTGGTGCTTGCTTATCACCTTAGGTATGCAGTTTTGATGTTGGGTCTCTGATTTTATTTTTTTTTTTTTTTAAAGTCCTATTTTATTCAAGCCCCACCTTGAATTCTTCTGTGAGTTTTTAATAGAGAAGTTCTGTCATCTGTCTTAAGTTTCCCATGCTCGATGTATTATTGAGATGGTGCTTCATGCCCAATTACACTGGCATGTTGTAGATCTTTGTGTAATATGTACCAGGGGAATTCTGGTTATTGTAACAGATGAAGAATGCAGAGATTTGGGAAAATAGAACAAGATGATGGTTGTTTAATAAAAAAAAAACAACCCATCAAATTTCATTCTGAAGTGGCAGACATGAAAAATGCATTCCCCCCCCCCCCCCCCCCTCTCTCG